CTGAGGCTCAGGTTTTGTTTCAATTGCATTATAATCAGTTGGTCACCTTGACCTGCTCATTTCCTTTGCCAGTTTTCTAATTTCCCTTTGCTGTGTGTGCAGCAATTTGATTCTTAGTAAACTCCTCTGAGAAACACCTGCTGTTGAACTATGTGTCTGTTAGGTACAGTGGGTAGAGTCAGAAGACAAGTTAGACTGTTAGACAAGTAAGACTGTTAGATTATTGTTTGAGGAGTGGTTTTGCTCCTCTCCTCTACAAGCATGTAACTTTCCTAGCCTACCGCTTTGTGGATTTCTGTGAGGAGGAAAATCTCCTGTTCTGATCAGTTTGGAAGCCTAGATGAGTCTGCTTTCTGTTCAGCTGTGCTCAAGTGTATCAAACATGTTTCCTCTGTAAATTAGCCTAGGAAGTTTCTTACTACTCTGCATGTTTACTGCCAGGCTGACCTAAGAAAGAGGAAAGGACTCTTGTGGCATTAAGAAGGGCTAATCACAGAGCAATAGAGCAGTCTGTTCAGCAGTCTTTAATTAGTAGGGTAATTGGTACTCTTGCTGTCCTCCTAAGCCAAATCACCACCATCAGCCATTAGGAGTTCAACATTTTCTACAAAGTTTCTAGGAGTTAGAATAGTATCCAGAGACTTGGTGCAGTGTTTGTTCTGACCTGTTTGTTGGGATGCTTTGTGACTTGGTTTAACCAATAGTATTTTCTGTTTGTTAGACAACACAGTGCAAGGAAAAATATTGTAGAATATAATGGTGATTCAGACTGTAAAAAGATCTTTGCACGTGAGTGATTATCTAATTTTAGAAGATACGCTGAAATTCCAAATTGCCCATTACCCTCCTATCTTCCCAGATGTGGGAGCAGAGTCAAACTAGAGTATCTTGATCCACAGTGCAGCACACAGCTCTAAATGTCCTGTCCTGTGATCTTGTTTCTCATAAAGCAAGAAAGAGTCTTTGAAACCCAAAGGATTTCCACAGCTCTGTGTTGTTTCTGGAGGACAGGTGTCCTTGTTTCTGAATTGATTAACAAATTGAAACGTGAGGGTGCTGTGGTGTAAGTTACAGTCTAGAGAAAATGCAAATCCAAAGATTTTACTGCCTGTTTGGAGTATTTTTGCAAGAAGATCCATTCTTTAAAGGACAGCTTCTAGCTTTTCCAAAACCCCAAAGGGTGTTGTGGAGGGTGGTGGTGTGCAAATTCAGTCATTGATAGTACAGCTACATTCCCTGACTAATTCTGTTGTGGTTTCCCTGTTTCCCAGTATAACAGGCTGCAGAAGGGGCAGCTACACTTCCCTGTGCATCGTTTTACTCCATTACAGCTTATTCCATCTCTACTGTTAAGGGGCAGTATAAGTTTCTCTTTTGAAATGGAACTGAGCTGTGTTGTGTCCCAGCATGTTGGGTTTGATGGAAATAGGTCTCTTTTGTTGCCTGTAGCATGAAGGAAGAGATGCTTTCTGGTGCACCTTATTCGTGGCTGGCAGAAATGTCAGTCCTGGCAGGGCTGAAGTTAAGTTCCCTTCCCACTAATCTTGGACTGAAACCTAAGTAATTTGAATCCATTTCTTTGTGTGGCCTCAGGTTTTAATTTCTTCAGTTTTAGTAAAGCTGTCTCATATTGACCATATTAAAGGGAACAGAGATGTTATCTAAAAGCATATTGTGGTAATATATTTCAAAGCAGGAGAGTGAGTCTCATTTAAGTGATCTCAGGCTATCAACTAACAGCTCTGATCTTCTGAAATGGGGACATGATGCACTGTAGCATTTAATGCTGTGGTTCTTTCTCTCCAACTGTAGCAGAAGGCTCCATGGACACTCTTTGAGGATCAATGTGGTGAACAACCATACACACAAACAGGTGTGTGCCTGCTCTGTGCTCTTTGTTTGTTACCTTTGGCAGGGAAGGAACTGAGTCCATAAACACTGGCATGTGCAAAGAAAGCTTTAAGTAGGCAACAAAAGTGTTTGGAAGTTCTCCAACAGCTGAGCTTCCTATTCTTGCATGATTAAGATACTTTTGTGATAATTGAGGTTTTTGTTTAGTGTAAGTTTGATTCCTTGTGCGTTATATATGAACGAGAAGTAGGTATTCCCAGTTTTTATCTGTATGTGTTAATGTTTCTTTCCTCCAGAGACTGTGACCTTTAGCTCTGATGTTCCTCTGTAAATTTCTCAGTGACACCACACCAGATGGAGCAGTGGGTTATTTTGACTCAGCATGCTGCCAGCCTCCTCAGGGAGTGGATATGATTGCACATGGTCAAGTGTGCTACAGTGAGGTGGGACAGTGTATAACCTTCCTGTGAAGTCCCAGCTGGGAACCTGAGAGTCAGTGATGTTAACTAGTATTCTGATGTACTTCTGAAGGTGTCATATCACTTATCAAACAGACTTTGAGCAAGACCCTAGAGTTTGTGCTGTGTCTTCTGGGATCAGTTTTAAAGACCTCAGTCACAGCCCCCAGCCATTCAGCCACCTGACCACCTTGGGTGCTTCCTGAGAGGAATTACATGTTCTTGTTGTGTAGGGTATTTTGTGTGTGTGTACATAAAGTATTACATGAAATATTGAAAAACCAACATTAACAATATCATGTCCTGGTTTGATTTGTGGTGTTTTTCTTGCCTTGATTATGGTAGCTTTAGTTATTTGTGTATGTTACCTTTCTGCTGGCCTGCTACCATCCCCTGTCCCACATGCTGTCACTGAAGGAAGTGTTTTCATAGTTCTGATTGCATCACTGGATCCTGGAATCCATTTCATTTGTCTCAAACTCACATCCATTGTCCTGATGGCTAGTGTTTTTCTCAACTCTTTTATTTGCTGCACAATTCTCTTCTGTTCTCCCAGCCCTTTTGGTTTTTTCCCTTCATAGCATTTCTGTGACTGGAACAACTTCCCTGTTTGTGAACCAGAATCTTGCTGACTACAACAGCCCACTGATTTTTGCAAGCTCTAATTGCTATTCCCTCCATTTTTCTTTACTTTTCTTTTGAATTAATGGAAAGCTGTTTGGACTTGTGACTTTGTATGTTCTGGGCAGTGCCATTTGTGTCTAGACTTTTTCTTAACATTATTTACAGTCTAGGAAAAAGTACTTGTGTATGCCTCAGTGTTTTAAGGCAGAGCTATGAGCATTAAGTTGAACTGGGAAATTAATTATTCAGTAAACCTCTCAGTGCAGTGTTTTTTAGTGCCAGACAGATATGTGCTGTGCTGAGGAAAGCAGCTATTCAGTTCAGTTTAGGTGTATTTAGCAGGCATCTGCTTAATTAAAACCAAACAAACAACTAATTAAGAAACCATATGCACAGGCTTCAACTTTAAAGGCAGCAGGGTGTTAAAAAGTAAGACACCAAGGCTAATTCCATTAGTGTGGCTTCCCTAATGGGGTTTAGGGATCAGAGGAATCTGTATGTGACTCTGTATGATACAGTTGATATCAGTGTGATATCGATGTCAGTACACCTAGGGAAACAGCATTTCTGGAAAAGAAGTCTGATAGTTTTCACACTATATGTTTTGAAATTACTTATGTACCTTCAGCTCTGTGTCCACAGGCTGCAACAATGGGAGTAAAGTCCCCTGTAGCCTTGTTCATTACCTGAAGATGGTTGAAGACAGGAGAAAACTACCTGTTTTGGAAATGTCTAGATTAAATCTACCTGCTTCTAAACTATGACCTTGCTTCTCCTCAGGGGTTGTATGACATGGAAGATGATGATGAAAGTGTCTCTCCCCTTCCAAGCAAACAGATGAAAATCACCACCACAAACAGTTTCCTGCACAACTCGGTAAGGGATTATATACACAGCCCCCACCATGCCATGCTCACATTGCACGGACACACAGACTGTGTGTGGCTTTAAGGGATTTATGTCCTTTTCAAGTATGTAAATGATGCTTTCTTCTCACATATTTGCTCTTTGCCCCACCATTCCTATGTGCCAGTGCTTCTACTGTTATTTCTGGAACAGAGTTCTCTTAGGGTAGCTAGTATGATAGGCCTTTTGCAGCCAGAATGTGTGTTTTCTGCCTTGCTGGCAGATTGCTGCATCTTGGCTCTTGACATTCTTGTTGAGGGAGTGCATTGAACCTATCTCATTTTTGTCTGAGCAAACCAACAAGGGAAGCTTTCTGCTGCTTCTGGAGCCTGGGCATCAAAGCAGGAAATCTCTTGCCATGAAAAACCTTAGTTGGCATCTTGTTGGGGAGGACTGTGGCTCTGGAGAAGATGGAATTTCACTACAGGCAAATGTGAGGTCCTGCTTTAGGCATAACTGTCTGCAACTTAAGCTGAGAGCTGACAGGCTAGAATGTGACTCTGTAGGAAAGAGCCTGGAGGTCCTACTGTGTGATCTAGGAATGAGTTAGTTGTGAATCTTTCCAGCAGCAAAGGCAAACTGTAGATATAGTAAGATCATAGCCAGCAAATCAAGGAAGACAGTTATTCCTGTTTGGCATTTTGAGAACGCACCTGGAATTCTGTGTCTATTTTGAGTCTCTGTGATACAAGAACGGCACTGCCTTGAACCAGAACAACAGGGTGATGAGAGGGCTGCAGCATATTAAGTGTGAGGAGAGGGTGAGAGAACAGGGTCTCAAGGAATGACCATGGAGGAGATTAAACAAATGTGTTGCTGCAAAGGAAATTCTAGTTGGTGAAATGCTCATGTTATTGATCAGCATCTGGCAAAGGGACCCAAAGAAGTTGTGCAGTTGCCATTCTTAGATATTCAGAATTTAACTGGCCCTAAGCTAACCTGTCTGAAGTTAGCTCTGTTTCAGACATGGGGATTGAACCTTGGGTTGCCCTAAATTATTCTGTGGTTCTGAAAAAGCAAATTCATGTGGTTTTGCCATCACACAGGCAGTGTATTGCAGTGATTATCCTATGTGGTTTGTTCCTCATGTGGGAATTCTGGCCCTTTGTGATTCTTTAATCATCTTACAGGTTATTTTGGGGGGGTTTCTTCAGGAGTAAATTTGTTCTCTCCAGTGTTCACAACAGCTTCCAAGCACAATTTTTAGTCTGGCTTTAAAACTCAGGTAGTTCCAACTACAAAGGTTGTCTCTGTGTGCCCTAGCCTGGTGTTTCTGAAGAATTATTGCTCTTTATACTACGGCTTCTCAATCTTATTTGTTAATGAGCAATCTTTGTGGACCCTTTCTAAAGTACTTGAAAATATTGGGATGAAAGGATCTTTTCAAATTCAGATCACATTGTTAAAGTTCTTGAAAGAAGAATATGAAACCAAAAAGTGCTTATGAGAGAAGTGCTCTTACAGGATAAACATATCTTTTTATGTTTATACCTAGAAGCTTTAATTCTGAGTACATGCTAGTAATACTCCGCTGGTGGTGCTTGAAAAAGTGATAACTTTTGTAGGCTGCAGCTCTCAGAGATACTTTTTTTTTTTCTTCCTGTAGACTGGTCTGAGTGGCAATAAATTCTCTCTGTCCAAGACTGTTCCCCTGACTAAAGTGGTCCAGAACGATACGTACACGGCTCCACCTGCACCTCCCTCTCCTATGCGGACGAAAGCCTTGACAAACATGTCCCGGACCTTAGTGACAAAGGAAGAGCCTCCAAAAGAGCCAGCACCTGTTGAGGTGAGCTCAGGGAAGTGGGAGATGATCTTTATAGAAGTCTCTCAAACATCTGAGACTTGTTGTTCATCAGTCATGTGGGCTCATTTCCACCTGCTTTACACCATTATTTCTGAGGCACTATCAAGATTATTCTGTTAACTGCAGTCCATGTCCCAGGAATGTGAAACCTGTCTGAACATACTTTTCCTTAGTTTGAGAGACTGGGAATTCTCAGTGCATCTTGGTTCTCTGACATGAGAGCATATGGTCCTGGAGAAATCCCTATTAGATGGAGATGGCAGTTGTTGCTTGGACACTTCTTGGTGACTTCCATATCCTAGGAGTAGTGTTTTAACAGTGTTTGATATGTTGTCTTCTGTCCACTCCAGTTAGCAGGGAGGAAGAAGGATTCTTCCAAATACAGCTGCTTGCTGTAGAAACCTGTCTGTAATTGCTTTGCCAAGCTGCCCAGTGTTGGGTACAGGTGCTCCTAGGCATGTTGAGTTCAGCATGCTCTTGAGGGGCTGGAGCTGTGTTTTGGGATTTGTTGACTGGTGCAGAGTACAGCAGAGACATGCACATGAAAGTGTGGGCATGACCAGAGCACTGTGTGTGCATGCAGATTCAGTTGGTGTTACACTTGAGAATATGAGCGAAAAGTTACATCAGAGAGAACTGCACGGAAAAGGGGCTCCTCTTTGCCACTGTATGAGCTGGGTTTTTGTAAGGATGGATACTTCTCATTACTAGCTATAGCTCTCTCCTTTGTATTTGTGTGTAGGCATTCCCAGACATTCCCTTAGTGACTTTCTAATGCATTCTCTACTGTGCTGTCTTGTGTGCTGTATTTCTGATCTTTGTGATGCATTTGTGTGTGTTGGCAGCTGGCGTTCAGTCCCTTGGAAGGCACAAAGATGACCGTAAATAATCTGCATCCTCGAGTCACAGAGGAAGACATTGTGGTGAGTGACACTTCCTTTACTCATGGCCTAGTGTCGTGGTTTAACCCCAGCCAGCAGCCAAGAACCACGCAGCTGCTCACACACTCTCCCACCAACAGGATGGGGGAGCGAATCAGAAGGGTAAAAGCTACAAAAACTCATGGGTAGAGATAAAGACAGTTTAATAGAGAAAGCAAAAGCTGCACACACAAACAAAGCAAAATAAGGAATTAATTCACTGCTTCCTGAAGACAGGAGGTGTTTAGCCATCTCCAGGAGAGCAGGGCTCATCACGCGTAACAGTTCCTTGGGAAGACAAACAGCATCACTCCAGATGTGCCCCCTTCCTCCTTCTTCCTCCCACCTTATATACTGAGCATGATGTCATATGGTATGGAATATCCCTTTGGTCAGTTTGGGTCACCTGTCCCAGCTGTGTCTCCTCCCAACCTCCCATGTATCCCCAACTTCTGTGCCAGCGAGGCTGTATGGGAAGCAGTAAAGGCCTTGACTCTATGTAAGCTCTGCTCAGCAATAACAAAAACATCTCTGCATTATCAACTCTGTGTTCTGCACAAAACCCAAACATAGCTCCATACTAGCCTCTGTGAAGAAAGTTAACTCTACTTCAGCTCAAACCTGCACAGTGGTGAATGCAGTGAAGAGGGGTATGATGTGGGTTTGCTTCCCTTCCAAAAACTTTGAGGGTTCCTGATTGTGTTGGGTTTTGTTCATGGTTTTACAAGTGTGTGCTTAAGATGATGGGGTAAAATCCCATTTGTAGAGTGTACTGAGATACCTGACATCACGTAGAAGTAGAGTTCATGCTAAATGATGGTTGCAGTTCTCCCTGAATTTACGCCTCTATCTGGACTAACTAGGCACTTACATTCTCATCAGACTGAGAATGAACCTGGTCTTCCTGTATGAAAAACTTCACAGTATACTGACCTTGGACTTTCCTGCTTGTGCAAGCTGTATTACTAGTGTCAAGTCCTCATACCATAGCAAGCACGGTAAGCCAAGTGTCTAGGTTCTGCCATGTGTTTACCAAGCAGAATGGGTGGTGTGATAAGAAGCTAAGCCACGTTCACGCAGTGCTTTTGATGTGACCATGGTCACGACTGAGTCTCTGCCCGCAGGAGTTGTTCTGTGTGTGCGGCGCTCTGAAGCGAGCCCGGCTGGTGCATCCTGGAGTGGCTGAGGTAGTGTTTGTGAAGAAAGAAGATGCAATCACAGCATATAAGAAATACAACAACAGGTGCTTAGATGGTAAGTTTGATGCCAGAGTTTTATGGAGAATAAATAAATCAGCAAAACTTTTCCACCTCAGCAGAAATTTTAAAAGCATCTCAGATGCTCATGTGATACCAAGACAGATGAAATTCCAGAAAATCAGCTCAAGAGCTGCATAATGTAATACATTCCTGTGTAACTAGGTGAATATGTGCACACTTTATTGAAGTGAAATTTAAAAAGACACCCACATTTTCCTAGAAAAAGAATGCTCAAAGCTAGAGGCAGAGTCCCGGTGAGTCTGCTGGTCAAACGTTCTTTTGTTTCTAGCCTACGTAGGTAGAGCTAGAGAGTCCTCAGGAGGGCTTTACCTGCTCACAGAAAAGCTGCTTGCAAAGTACAAAAGTCCCAAGGTGCAGTCAGAGACATTTTGAATTGGACTTGTGAAACAGTTGATATCAGCTTCCCCATAAAATTTGAACAATGTAGTCTTTAACCTGGATTCACCTGTAGTGTTGTGTTAGACTGAAGTGTTAATTTTTAGCTAGAAATAGATGCTTTTTTTGCCCTCTAGCTGAGTGACATGTTATGAATGTCAGATGATGAGCAGACAGCTGAGAATGGGAGATCCCCTTGTGTCTCTGCTAAGGGCTTTGGACCTCTATGTAACTTCTTAATTAGTGTGATCCTTCATACGGTACTAAGTGTTTCAGTGGCTGTTCTGTTGCTGTGGTTTAGCAACAAAAGATTTATCAGCTATTCTTTCTCATGTTTCCTCAGCACGTGGAACTCATAGAGTGACTTTTTAACTCCTTTTTTTATTTAGGTCAACCAATGAAATGCAATCTTCACATGAATGGGAATGTCATTACCTCAGACCAACCTATATTGCTGTAAGTGTCCTTCATGTGGGGAAAAGAACCAGACACTTGCAGGTTCTGTTCTGAGCATTGTCATCCCTTGAATATTTTTGTTTCCTTCCTTTCTGTGGCACAATATGTTGACCTGAGTGCAATATAGCTTGACTACATAGTGTTCTGAGCCCTGAGGTTCAGAAATAGTCTGAGAATGTTTCCTTGTGAGGGAAGCATATTTAAAACCTTTTATCTCCAATATTGCTAAGGGGGCAACACTGATAACAGTAAATGCAGACATAGTGTTAAATTTTATTTCATAATGAGAGGTTAAATACTGCTTTTCCCTTTTTTTCACTCCTCCAGCCGACTGAGTGACACTCCTGCAGTGAAGAAGGAAGGGGAACCACGCCGGTCAGGTGCAAGCGCCTCCTCAAATCCCCCAGCTGAAGTAGACCCTGACACTATCCTGAAGGCACTCTTCAAATCCTCAGGGGTCTCTGCCTCTGTGCAGCCCACAGAATTCAAAATTAAACTCTGAGAAGGGGCAGTGAGCAGTGGACTGGAAAACTCATTTAGGTTGGGGGATGAGGAGAGTGCAGGAGTGCAGATGTTATTTGCATTGCCTGCCTTGAATTTTTTGTTTTCTATGATCGCTACCTTACTGTACAGTAGTGTTTCCTCTTGTGTGTGTACTTTCTGTTTTCATAGTTGGAGTTTTCTTCCATGATTTTTTTCCCCAAGAGAATAACCTCCCCCTTCTGCCAGTAATGTATTACCAAGCATATACCATGTAACTCCATCCTTTACCCCAAAGCCCTCAGTGGCCATTAAAAGTGCACATAGACTTTGAGGGAAGGAGTGATCTCCTCCTCTTTTTTACTTCTGACTGACCTTTAACTGAAAGTGCATCCCCTTGGTTGTCACCAGGCAAGAACACCGCATTGTTTCTGAAGCTGCTGCACTGGTACAAAGCCAGATGTGGCTCCATACAGGAAGCACCATCTTGCATCTTTGACTGGTATGCATCTGGTGGCATACTGCTTCGTTCTGGCTGTTGGACATTTTCCTGTTCAGCAGCTGTGACATGGAGAAGAGGTAGGAAAACCTGAGCTTCCCACTGCGTATGCCTGCCAACGGAGGCGTCAGGCAGAACGGACACATGCACAAGTGTACCAGCCATTGTGCTGTGGGGAGGGATGCTTCAACTCCCGTGGTGCTGGGGGGTTCTTCTGGCACCTGTACAATGAGTATATTGGCCCTGTAGGATCAGGCTCAGTTGCTCTCCTCTTTCTGGACTGAAAAACTATGAACCAGTTGTGTTTGGAGCTAGAATGAATCCTGGTGTTTTGCTCCCATTTATACTATATTCCATCCTCCTGCTGATGCAGAGATGTTAGGGTTTTTTTTCTCCCTTTCTAACTCACCCAGTCTCCAATAAAGAGGAAGGACCTGGGGCCCTTTCAGATGCTGGTTACAGAGGAAGCAGTCTCTCATGGCTGAGAACTCGCCTCTTTGAGAGGTGCCATTTGGCTGCTGTCCAGGCATGCTGCTGGCTTGCTTGGGTTTGGAGGATGATTGCTACACTTGGGGCTTCAGGGAGAGGTTTTGGAGCGGAGAGCAGCTGGTACTCGGTGAGGAGCACTGGAGGAGAGTTTTGAGTGCCACACAGGGCAGCAAGGATGTGCCCCGGGCTGGTGAGCGTGTGAGACAGTCCACCAGGTGGCACTTCCAGTTCTTCCCACTGTCAGCGTGGCATTGTCGCCTGGGATGCTCCAAGTCCCGGTAGTTACTTTCGTTTTTATAAGAGCAACTTGCAGAATCTGGTTGAGGTTTAAACTTGATACTACTGGCTGGGAGACTAACCTAATCAGTTCTGTTCAGCTCTGCTGAACTTTTACTGAATTCCCTGTAGCTCTTGTAGGTCCAGATGCCATTTCTTGGTCAATCCTATGTTTCTTTTCCTTTCTTGTTCTGTATGAACTCTTTGCTCTATCTAGCTCTCATGCAAACCATTCCTCTCTATCACTGTATCCCTTTTAGCCATGGAAATATCTGAGGACTTGGCAGGACTTGTTTTTCTGGAGTACTCTCCTTGGTTTGAAAGCCAAGGACACCATTATCAGGTAGGGTACTTCACATGAACAGCAGATGTTTGTAGGGGAGGGGACCTAAGACAGCTATTGTTCTCCCTTTTTTTGTTTTTTTTTTGATTGCCCACCAAACACCTGTGTTTTATTAAAAAAAGGGGGGAGGGGGAGGAAACATTAGGGGTTGGAAAAGATAATGTATTATCTGTTTCTGAATAAACATTTGTTATACAGAGAATGGATTCTAAGCCTCTTTAGATGCTGCAAAGCAGCGACAGATAAGTGGAGTTCCAACATTGAGTCAAGTGTGTTGTTTATAAAAATTCTTCAAAACTGGTAATATGATAAAGAGCAAGAGGAGTATGTGGGTGAGAGGACTGATACTCGTCCACCTTTCGATCTGGATCACAGAAATTAGCAGCTGCTACTAAGTGGGAGTCATTTGTGTCCACACAATTCCAGTTCTCTTGTCACAGAAAAATGGAGTGGCTTTTGTTATTGAAGCCTAGTAATTTAAGCAGTAACTTTATTTAAAAAAACAGCTGTAAAATCAGGGTACCTGTTGGAGTTGAAATAGGGTACTCGTTATCAGCTAGACAGAAAGCTGTGGAAATGTGAAGATGTGAGTGCATCTTGTCTCTTCTGAAAGCATGGGGAGATTCAAGCATTTTTTTGAACTAATAGATTTATGTCCATTGAAAAGCCAAATAGCAAGAGGCACTTTAACTTGCTGTTAAATTGTGCTTTATGTTTAAGTTATCTGTGAGAGTTTATGATGACATTAACACTGTTTCCTGGGAGAGCTGCTGCTCTGTTCTCCAGCTCTGTGATCTATGGCAGTATATTTTAATTATTTTTATAAATTGGTGAAGTCAGTGATTATCTAAACACCATTCCATGATTTGTCTTACAGCAGTGTCTGGGTATACACTGCTCTTCTGTTCTTGGTCAGCTCTTTAAAGTTATCTTAGTGTTCTAAAACACCATGGCATGGCTTCTTTCACTGGGCACTGAAAGAAGAGTATCCAGCTACTCCTCATCCTTCTCAGGTAGTTCACTTTGCAGGTCTCCAGTTTCTCCTGGCCTACCTGCAGCTGTCATGCTACTCCTGTTTGCATACCTCCCACCTCCTGCCCTCACGTCCCTCCACGTGTGCCCTCGTGCAGGATGCTGCTTTCTTTGGGGGTTTTTGTGGGGGGTTTTTTTATTATTATTATTTTTACATTTTTTTCCCGGGCTGATAGAGTTTATAAACTTGCCTAGGAAATACTAATTGCCTGTACTACATTAATTTGGCCAGGGCAGGTGGTAGGTAATTTGTAATGGTGTTTCTTTTGGCTTTGTCAGAAACATGGTGACTTCTCAGGTGTTGCCACGGTGTGGAAGTTCAGTGTGTTTTCACGGTTTTTGAATGTACCACTCCTTCTAATAACGTTCATTAATTCGGACATTTGATTGGGTCAATGCCACATCATTTCGCATTCTCACTGCCCCTTGGTCACCTCCTGCGTTAATTCTGCTTCAGTATCTTGCTTTTGGAGTCTTCAGTCATAAACGCAAGTTTTTGTAAAGGTAATTTTTTTCCTTTTCCGGAGTAACGTGAGTCTTTACAAAGAGTTGCCTTTGAATGCCTTTATCTATCTATATTTGCCTCTCGAGGGTTTGCTCCAC